GCTGGACATTTCACTCTCCATTCTAGTCCTCTGTGGCCATGTCCCTGTCCCTGGGCCCAGGAGTCCTCAGTTCTTGCCATACTGCTGGCCAACCAGGTCTCAGTCCAGGTTGACAGTAATCTATTAAACATGGTTGGACTTAGTTCACAACTTCATTGCTGTTTTTCTCCCATTTTCCCTTACCGGTAGACCAACATGGTCACAAGCAAGACCACATGCCTGCTCGTGTATTCCCCTTGAGTCTCAGTCTTGGAAGGGGGTTTGGCCTGAGGGTACCCGACCTCTTGCCTTGATGGCTCCCCTGCAAACAACTTGCTTGTTCTTGTAGTAGTCATTCAAACTGCTGTTATTGTTTTTGTTTCTTCCTGCTGGTAACATCCATAAAAAACTTTTAAAGGGACTTAACAAGTTACCCACAACTAGCAGTTCTCAGATTAATTATAAAGGGTATGTATATTTTGTTCCAGATTCTCGTTGTCTAACTCAGCTGTACATAGCACTATTCTTATGAGAAAACTTTGTAATTTGATGACATCTCTCTAGAGGTAAAGACCAAATGTTTTTTACCTTCACTAACAGAAAAGTTAATAAGACTATAATTCAACTTTATTATATACCAACCACTAAAGCCAAAGGTGATGACACTGAAGAATTCTACCAACTTCTTCAGTCTGAAATGGATCAAACACACCATCAAGGTGCTTTGATAATTACTGGTGATTGAAATGCAGAAACAAAGAGGAAGGATTGTTGTTGTTAAGTGCTATTGAGTCAATTCTGAATCATCATCGTGACCTTGAATAAGGTATCAGAGGAATGACTGGTGGGTTTGAATCCCTGACCTTGTGGTTAGCATTCCAGTGCTTATCTTACAGTGCCATTCCAGGAAGGATTGTTGTTATTGTTGTTAAGTGCCGTGGAGTCGGTTTCAACCCATAGCGACCCTGAATAGGGTTTCTGAGGCTGTACATCTTTACAGGAGCAGATCGCCTCATCTTTCTCCCACGGAGCAGTTGGTAGTTTCAAACTGCTGACCTTCCGGTTCGCAGCCCGATTCGTAACCACTATGCTACCAGAGCTCCTACCAGGAAGGATTAGTAATTTTAAAATACTGCCTTGGTGATTGAAAGTATACTGGAGATCCCATGATAGAATATTGCAAGACAAATAACTTATTAATTGCAAATACCTTTTTCCAACAACATCAGTGGCTACTATATACACAGACCTCACTAGATGAAATACACAGGAATCAAATTGACTATATCGATGAGAAGAGACAATAAAGAAGCTCATTATCATCAGCCAAAACAAAGCCAGGATCATCTGTGGAACAGACCATAAGTTGCTAAAATGCAAGCTCAGACTAAAGTGAAGAAAATTAATACAAGTCCCTGAGAACCAAAATATGACCTTGAATATATCCCACTTAAATTTAGAGACCATCTCAAGAACAGAGTTGATACATTAGATATTAATGATTGAAGACCAGAGGAGTTGTGGGATGACACCAAGAACTCCATACATAAATGAAGTAAAAAGTCTTTCAAAAGACAGGAAAGGAATAAAAGACCAAAATGGATGTCAGAAGAGACTCTGAACCTTGCCCTTGAGCATACAGAAGCTAAAGCAACTAGAAGAAATGATGAACTAAAAATGCTGAACAGAAGATTCCAAAAGGCAGCTTGAAAAGACAAAGTAAAGTTTTGTAATGAAGTGTGCAAATATCTGCAGTTAGAAAATCAAAACGGAAGAACACAGTCAGCATCTCTCAAGCTGAAAAAACTGAAGACAACATTGAAGCCTTGTGTTACAATATTGAAGGATTCCATGGGCAAAATATTGAATGATGCAGAAAGCATCAAAAGAAGATGGATGGATGTGTACACCATCAGTGATTTCACAATAAAAACTTAAAAAAAAAAAATGTATATGTCATTGTTGTGAAGTGCCATCGAATTGGTTCCGCCTCATACCAACCCTGTTTTGTATCCTACTTTCCCTCCTTAACGTGAGAATATAATCAGTGTTTTGTGCTGTTTCAAACATTCTATAAATATCATTTTTAGTAGCTATATCCATTCTAGTAAGTTGTGTGTATTTTATTTAAGTAGACCATAAATCCCTTTTGGCATTAAATGAATGAAAGTGAGGCGGCACAGGAGGCACTCACTCATCTCTGCCAAGAAATTTGGAAGACAACTATCTGGACAAACTAATTGGAAGAGGTCCCTATTTGTGCCCATTCCAAAGAGAGGTGACCCAATGGAAATCATTGAATGCGGAAATCATCAGAAAATATCTTTGATACCCCATGTGAGTTAAGTTTTACTAAAGGTAATATAGAAATGGCTGCAAGCATAGACTGACAGAGAACTTCCAGAGGTTCAAGCCGGATTCAGAAGAGGATGTGGAACGAGGGATGTCCGATGGATCTTGACTGAAAGCAGAGAATACCAAAAAGATGTTTACCTGTGCTTTATTGACTATGTAAAGGCTTTCAATTATGTGGATCATGACAAGCTATGGACAACATTGCAAAGTATTAGTATTACTGAACTCTTAATTGTGTTCATGAGGAATCTGTACATGGATCAAGAGGCAGTTGTTCGAACAGAACATGGGAACACTGAATGGTTTAAAATTACGAAAGGTGTGTGATAGGGTTGTATTCTTTCATCATACTTATTCAACCTGTATGCTGAGCAAATAATCCAAGAAGCTGGGTTCTATAAAGAAAAACGTGGCATCAGAATTGGAGGAAAACTCATTAACAACCTGTGATATGCAGATGAAACAACCTTGTTTGCTGAAAGTGAAGAGGACTTAAAATACTTACTGATGAAAATCAAAGAGCACAGCCTTTGGTATGGATTACATCTCCATGTAAAGAAAACAAAAATCCTCACCACAGGATCAGTAAACAACATTCTTATCAATGGAGAAAAGATTGAAGTTGTCAAGGACTTCATTCTTCTTGGATCAACCATCAACACTCATGAAAGCAGCAGTCAAGAAATCAAAGGAAATATTATTGCATTAGGCAAATCTGCTGCACAAGATGTCAGCTTGAGGACTAAGGTGTGCCTGACCCAAGCCATGATATTTTTAGTAACCTCACATGCAGCAAGATGTAAACAAAACAGAAGATGGATGAAGTACTCCATAACTGTACCAAAAATAAATTATCTGTGTTCAACCATTTCATTAGGTAGTATATGATCAAGAGCCAATGATATTGAAGGAAGAAGCCTAAGCATCACTAAAGGCATTGGTGAAAAAGAAGTCTCCAAGAATTGATGGAATGAATACAAATTGAAATGTTTCAACAAACTGATGTGGCAATATGAAATTTGAAATTTGGAAGACTGCTTACCTGATCAACTGATTGGAAGAGATCCATATTTGTGCTCATTCCAAGAAAAGTTGACCTAACAGAATGTGGAAATTAACATGCAAGTAGATATTTCCTGAAGATAATTTTAAAATGGTTGCAGCAGGACATCTACAGGGAGCTGCCAGAAATTAAATTCAAGTTGAATTCACAATAAGACTTGGAACTAGGGATATCATTGCTCATGTCAGATGTATCTTGGCTAAAAGCAGAGAATGTCAAAAGAGGTTTATTTGCATTTTATTGACTATTGAAAGACATTCATCTATGTGAATCATAAACTATGAATAATTTTTCAGAGAATAAAAATTTCAAAACACCTGATTAGTGTTCATGAGAAACCTGTGCATATACTAAGAATCAGTCATTAGAACAAACCAAGGGAATGCTTGTTCAAAATTACCAAAGGTGTGTGTTCAAGGTTGTCTCCTTTCACCATACATATTCAGTTTGTATGCTAAACAAATAATCTGAGATACTGGATTATGTATAAAAACGTGGCATCTGGATTAAAGGGTCATTATGCAACATAATAGTTGGCACTACCTTGCTTGCTGGAAGTGAAGAAGACTTAAAAAGGTAAAAGATCTCAGCCTTCGGTATGGATTGCATCTCAATGTGAAGAAAACAAAAATTCTCATGACTGGACCAATAAATAACATGATAAATGGAGAAAAGATTGAAGTTGTCAAAGACTTCGTTTTGCTTGGATTAACCAACACTTGTGGAAGCAGCAGTCAGAATTTCAAATGACATACTGAATTAGGCAAATCGGCTGCAAAAGACATCTATCTTTAAAGCATTGAAGAGCAAAGATACCAGTTTGAAGACTAAGGTGCTGCACCTGACCCAAGCTATTTTGTTTTCAATCACCTCATATGCATGTAAAAGTTTACAATGAATAAGGAAGACTATAGAAGAATATAAATGCATTTAAATTATAATGTTTGGTGAAGAATATTAAAGATAGCATGGACTTCCAGAAGAACAAACAAATTTGTGTTAGAAGTACAACCAGAATACCTTTAGAATAGAAGACTTTTCTCTCGTACTTTGGACATGGTCCCATGAAGGATCAGTCCCTAGAGAAAGATATCATGCTTGTTGAAATTGGGGGTCAGCAAAAAAGAGGAGGACCCACTAGAAGATGACTGCAACAGACGGCACAAACAGCAAAAATTTTGTGGATTGCACAGAACCTGGCAGTGTTGCATTCTCTTGTACAAAGGTCACTACAAATCACTGACTTGTTGGCACCTAACAACAAAAAGGAAATGCTAGGTAGGTCTATTTTTGGTTATGTATCTGTGAATTGGAGTCCTGGTGTGCCACTGTGGGTTAATGTGCTGGACTGCAAAGTTGGCTTGAATTGCAAGGTCGGCAGTTCAAGTTCACCAGCTACTCCTTGGAAACACTATACAGGGTCACTGTAGGTTGGAACCACCTTAACAGCTCACAAACAACAACAAAAATCTGTGAATTGCTGAATCAGATTGATTATCTTAATGATATTGAATATGAAAGAATTGTATCTCTCTTAATTACGACATGTTATAACAAATTTATTATGAGTACATTCTTATAAATGACAAAGAATACTTTTGAATTACTTGATGTTTTGTGGTTTAAGAACAATACTTGAGTAAGATCTTATACATGAAAATGCATAGGGTGATATTTCTCTTGTTTTAATGTAATTATTTTCAAAATGAAGATGTTCCAAACTTGAATCGCCATCATCTTCAGTTTTGCAGATTTGTTCTGGAAGAATATTCCTAGAAAAAATACACATACAAGTCACCAATGATCCAAATAATAATCTTTTACCATTCTGAGGTATATGAGGCAAAAGAAAACCCAAGGAAATCATTGTGTTCTAAAGTACTAAGGTCCGTAGCTGAATTACTTTATGTTTTCTTTATATTGAATGTCCAAGGATTTTATCGGTACTTAGTAGGAGGAATGGGGATACAAGCGGACTTCAAGAGTTTGTGAGAAAATGCCTTTGTCTTATAAGTTCAGTTTTCCATCACCCATTTGAGTCCTCGTTGTAACTGTCTTCTCCATTTTATCTGGAAACAAAAGACCCTCTTACCCTTTTTAATTATCTCCTTTCTTTTGTGCCTTCCAATGATTTTATTAATGATATTAAGATATAATTGAGACTTCTGGCAAAAGGAAGTAGGTAGACATACTACACTGGCCCTCTACAATAAAGACACGAATAACCAAATGAAACAGAGAGATGTAGATGAAAATTCTGTAATCCTGAACTTCAAAAGAAAGGTTAGAGAAGTGCAGGGAGACTGACTGGTAAATAACAGGGCTTAGTGTAATTATGTTGTGATTCGTTTTAGTAACAGAGGGAGGCCTGACAGAGCAGATTCACACAGGTGATGGAAAACGTGTAATTCCTTCTTTTCCCCCACGTTCACAAGAGCGACATGTGCCTGTAGTGGGCAGACAAGAGGCATTCCTGACTGGAGAGCTGCTGCATTCTCAGATGGTGTTCATTCCCTAATGAACCCAATAATTGTGAGTATTGTTATGAGTTCTGTGTGGCCAATGCAGTGGCCTGTTGAACCCAGATGTGAAGCACAGACTGCTGTGGGACAGATGGTTGGTGTCAAAAGAGGGTAAAGAAGGTTGTAGGGTGGAAGCATGTCTGACCTGTGCGTGATAGGAATCAGGCTTGTGCTGATTTTGAGTTTGATTCTCTTTCCCCCTTGTGAAGCTAAGGGAAGTCAGACATGGTCCCCACATTGTTTTTCCAGTGGTTAAAAGGGGGAATTGGAGAGGGAAAATTATTCATGGTGTAGCGGGTAGACACATGTTAACATGAATGCAGGCAAAATACAATTAGAGGGAGTTAGCAGAGGAAAGATGAAGGTAGCAGGGACACAGGGAGGAATGCAATAGTTAAACTGTTGGTATGAGATTGCAATCATTGTAATGAAGCAAAGTATATGATTTGTTGAATGTGAAACTGATGATCTCGTTAAACCTTCACTCAGTTCACAATTAAAAGTTGGGTTTCTTTAAGCATAATTGAAATATTATTGAGTAGGAATTTATGTCTTTTCTTATGTAGTTGTTAGTTCAGTTCTCTCTGATATACCTCAAATAAAATTATTTTTAATGGTGCTCATCTAATGGTTTAGTTTCCTTAGATCAGTGACCTCTAGTAGAAAACAAGTTGTCTTGACCCCTAGTTAGCATTTGATAGCAATGTCATAATTCACTGACTTTCACAGAAGTACTTCTGGTTATTGGGTAGTTAAGTTTTTTGTGGCTAATCGAAAGGTGGGCTATAACCCACCAGCTGTGCTGAGGGAGAAAGATGTGGCAGTCTGCTTCTGTGAAGATTTACAGTCTTAGAAACACTGTTGTTGTTGTTGTTAAGTGCCATCGAGTCGGTTCCGACCCATAGCGACCCTGTACAGGGTTTCCGAGGGTGTAAATCTTTACGGGAGTAGAAAGCCTCATCTTTCTCCCTCAGAGTGGGTGGTAGTTTCGAACCGCTGACCTTAAGGTTTGCAGCCCGATTCGTAACCACTACGCTACCAGAGCTCCTACTGGGCAGCTATACTGTGTCCTATGTGACTATGAATTGTTACTGGCTAATTTTTCTATCACAGTAGCATTTATGTGTTAATTATATTACAAATGTATTAAGTATCTTGCAAGAAATTAGATGCAATTCACAAATGCGTCAGACTGCAAAGTCCTTTGAACTGCAAGTTCAGTGGTTCTAGCTCACCACCCAGGGTCGGAATTGACTCAATGGCACTTAACCACAACAACAGATAAAAATAGACTATTGCCATGGGTTCCTACTCTTCTCTCTCTCTCACATGCACCCCTCCCTATACATACACACCCCTCCCTTAATATTGAATCAGTGAAATAAAAGACAAAAACAATGCTTTGGAGCTAGTATAAGAAAGAAGTAACTATAGATCTATACTATGCTGTATGTTGTGCTGTATTAGACTGCTAACTGCAAGATTGGTAGTTCACATCCACCAGCTGCTCCTTGGAAACTCTATACAGGGCCACTGTGAATGACAACCAGCACTTGCAACAACAATATGCACATACTGGAGCCCTGCTGTGGCATGTAGGATAAGCACTGAACTACTTACCTCAAGGTCAGCAGTTTAAACTCATCCACCACTCCTCAGAATCCCTATACAGAGTGTCTGTGAGTCAGAACTAACTTGATGGCACTTAACAATAGCAGCAATACACATACCAGTCTATTTCCTATCCTTCCCCGCCTCCACCTCTTCTCCCATCCCTTTTATAATCTATTGCTCCTTTTTAATAATTACATTTATTTGCAATTTTGTTGTTGTTGTTGTTAAGTGCCATGAAGGCAGTTCCAACTCATAGCAATCTGTATAGGGTTTGAGTCTGTAAATCTTTGAGGGAACAGAAAGCGTACTCTTTTTCCCTCTGAGCCACTGTTAAGCTCGAGCCTTGTGGTTTGTAATCCAGTACTTATCCTACTGAGCCTCTGTACTACCATTTTGAATTCTTGAGATGGGGAAAAGATATAGGTATAAACCTCAATGACAGAACTAAAAGGTCTTAGTGTTGCTGTCTCTCTGTGTCCCTGTGAATGAAGAAGACTGCTCTAGCAAAGTAGTACCGACTCATTTTTAAGATATTCATGGTATCTAGGCATAGCTGGATCACTGAGTTAGTAGACTAAACACATAGAAAAATGTGTTCCCCAAATGAAAAAGTAGAAACTCATTAATTTTTTTCAGAATTATACCCTCAGGAAAATCTAGATAGAAGCAGTTTTATTTTTTATTTTTAGAATATATATAGATTTTGTATTTTATAGATGCATTTTTTCATTATATATAAAAGTGGTTTGGGAGTAACACCATAATGTTTTTAGTGCTTTAAAACGTCATTTGAACTTGTCTCAAAGGGTTCTGAATATTAAGTTATTATGTTCTTTTTATTATGGAAATTGATATATAAAATTGAAAAAAAAATTGTAATTCATTTTATATACATATCACCCAGCGCCAACAATTATTAACATTTTGTCAGTCTTGTTCAATCAAATAATTTATTATGTTTTCCCTTGCTGTAGTGTTTTGAAGTTTATGCAAGATTAAAATGCTGAAATCATTTAACCCAACAATTTAAATGTATACTTGAAAAAAACAAAAATTACCGTATCTTGTTGTTGTTCAGCCTCAGATAATGTAGTGCTTTCATGTCCTGTATCCCAGGTGGTATGAATTTGAAATCATTGTGATCCAGAAATAATTCTCTCAGAGAATGGTATGCCCCATAGAAAGAAACAGGGTCCACTCCGTTATTCACAAGTTTGTTAAATGACAAATACAAATATTCCAGGCCAGGCTCCATGTGAGCAAACACATAGCCAGGAATCCGTTCAATTTGATTCCCAATTAGCACTAGGTGCAGCAAGGACTTTGGTAGATAGGAAGGGACATGATAGATTTTGTTGTAAGAGAGATCAATTGATTCCAGATTTCTGCAGCAAAGAAAAAAGTAAACAAGATGGAAGATCAGGGTAATGAATATGAACTCTAAATTTTGAGAATGCCAATCTTGATGCTAGTCCGTTTTCTTAAAAGCACTCAGTTCATAGTAATGATTCTAAATACGAGGGAACTTCCAAAAGTTTGTGGGAAAATGAATTTGAAAGGTAATGGGATTTTCCACAAACTTTCTGAAGCCAACTATCCAACAAGGTTGAGTATTTAACAGGCTTGGGTTGCTGGGCTGTGATTCTCTTGTTCTTACCAATGTGTTATATTCCTTCTCCTTCTACTTTGAGTTCTATTAGAGAGGAATAAACTCTAAAATTTTGGGGGGTCCAAAGAGGTCCCAGAAATATCTCTTATAGCCAAATGGTTGAATCAGAAATTAAATTCAGGAGTCCTATCTGACCTTAGATCATCTAGCTCTAAAATTATCTATGGTTAGGAAGGAGAGTTGGTTTTTGTTTGTTTAGCTTTTGTTCACCATTTTATTTAATGACCTGGCATACCTAGGATTGGAGATTAAACTGGGGTACCTAGAAAAGGTTGCTAATTGACCAGATAGTCTGGGAAATATAGATAATGCTCTTGTTTATTTCAGGATCCTCTTGAGTCTCCTAAGGCTCTTGCCCCATTCCCTCTTTTCACCTGTTGGAGAACACACTCCCCTATTTCCCATCTACTTTGACAATAATATTAGTAACCAAAGTAATCCTAACACTAGTAATGAACAGTTTATAAGTTCCGTGAAGTGATTGATTAAATAGAAAGGTTGGGAGTTAAATAAGAAATGCTTGTCTCTCAGACTCCCTCAGTGCCGCCATCACCGCCCTCACTTGGCACTGCCAATTTGTATTCTCTGTTTACTAGCAGTCCAGTTGTAGCACAGACTTACTCCTGATTTATCCAGGCTAAAGGAGCAATCCTGTTTTCTTCAATTTTATTGTAACGAAGTACAATGACACTTATTAGTCTTGTATATTTGAAACAAGTTTCAGTTATTTCTTCAATTTGGTTATTTTCCAGGTGTAATTCCTAAAATTAAATAAAAAGACTATTATTTTTCTTCCTTTTCTGTTAGTTGATAAATATGTTAAATTATTCAGAGACTAAAATAGCTTATGTGACTATTCTCAGTATTATCTAAAGTTTCAAGTGAGTTCATTTTTTTTAAGATGCTAACATTTCTAAGTAATAAAATAAAATATGTTATTTTTCATGGTTATGGAGTTAAGTAAATCTTTTTCATTTTTCTAGGCAAACAGTGTTTCAAAATATAGTACACTATAATAGGTATAAGGAGCTCTGGTAGCGTAGTGGTTACAAATTGGGCTGCGAACCTTAAGGTCAGCGGTTCGAAACTACCAGCCGCTCCGCGGGAGAAAGATGAGGCTTGCTACTCCCGTAAAGATTTACACCCTCGGAAACCCTGTACAGGGTCGCTATGGGTCGGAACTGACTTGATGGCACTTAACAACAACAACTTAACAATAATAGGTATATAAAGCTTTTTAGTTTATAATACTTTTTCACATAATTTATCATATGTGGACTTCAAAATCCTGGAAAGTTGGTAGAAAGCTATCATTTCCATTTTTCCAGTGGGGAAAGTTAGACTTGTAGAGATTGCAAGACCTGCCAAACATTACCTGGCTAATACATAAGAGAAACTCATCTGAACTCAAGCTTCCCACTATTTGTGTGTATTATGCTGAATTGTTTTAGACTTGCTTATATTATAGTTAATTTAATTAAAACAAATCAATTTAGATTCATTAAGAATCTTAATTTGAATTTAGGGTAAAGTTTTCTAGACTTATTAGTAGTTTTTAAATAGCTAACTGTCTTCAAATTAAATTTAGTTTGTTTTAGTGGGTGTTTTCCTTGAAAGGATTTGAATTACAAAATTCTCTATGCTTTCTTTTTGGAATTCATAAGTATGATTAGCATATGTCTTCACTGTCACTTTCTATTCATATTATGATGATTTCCCTCTTTGTCACTTAATTTTGGTATTTGTTAGAAATGAGTAAAGAAATGTCCAGTTCTTTGCTTTTGCCTTTATGTCGATTAAGGGTATTAAATTAGATTAGTAATCCCCAAATTTGACTGCATATGAGAATTATCTACTATATTTAAAATGTGTAGATTCCAACCTAAATGTACCTTAGTAAGAGACTAGTTAAGTAAGTTGTAAATCCATCCATACATTGAAAATTCTACAGCAATAGTAAAGAATGAGATGACATTTTATGTATGGATGTGAGACAGTTTTCAGGATACATATTTAAGTGGAGAAGGCATGGAGAAGTGACTTTTAAGAAGGATATATAATGTGTATACACATGTGTGTCTGTAATTTCCCAAGCTAGTAAGAGTACATCCATTATACAGAGAAACCAGGGACAGTAAGTTCAAATGTGAAATAAAGAGGCATTACTTTGTGTAATGTTCAAGTTGTGTTTTGATGTAAAGCCAGATACTAGAACCACTTTTCTTTAATATTTTAATAAATTCTGTCTTTTAGTTTGGAGATAGGAAGGATGGTGTCTATGGCAATAGTGTAAAATAAAAAGATAATATTTTGTCTGGTCACTTGTATGAGAAACTCCATCCTAATATCTGGCTGAATGATTAGAAACTGTCTCAGTTAAGGAAACTTGGGTTCCAGTTGGGTCCTGACAATTTTATCAACTTTCTGCATCTCAGTTCTTAGTTAAAAAAATGCTTAAGACTTTGAAGTTTGGAACTAGTCATAGGACTATCATGCATTGGTCGAAATTTGTAATTCAGAGTTGCTAGAAAAGTCCTTTGTCTTTCTGAAGCACATAAGTCCAGAGTTACTATTAGATAATTTTGTCTGTGGTTTTACATTGGAATATATAGGCCTGGACAAACTAGACAAACTTTTAAGCATTTGAGCTTATTTTTTGATGAACATCATGGTTTTGGATTGGTACACTTTAGTAACTGTCTTGTAAGTCAGGATATTTTTTGCAAGTTGTAATTTCTGTTTCAAATCTCAGTTCACCTTTCCCATTCTCCCAAAGACATGTCATCAGGATCATTTTTCACTTAATCAGTGGTCTCTATTGGTATTATAAATTTACTAATAACTTTGTAATGTTTTAAGAACAAAAACTAATCAGTTTATAGTAGATTCTGTTTAACATCACCTATACACTACAGAGTTTAATATGTATCAAATAGTCTTCTTAAATATGGTATATGTTTTTTTGTAGTATATTGCATTTAAAATATATAACATTTAGTAATGAAACAAGCTATATGAATGGTTGAATGTGAAGCTGATGATGTGCCCTGTAAACTTTCACTCAATCCAAAATAAAAACATTTAATTAAAAAAAAAAAAATATATATATATATAACATTTAAAGCATAAGGAAAATATAGATACCTCAATAGAAGCAGGAAGACCCTGTGGTATAATTCTAAATTTATTTTTTCCTAGACGCATGTAGGACAGGTTCTTAAGATGTTTGAAAGCTAAAGGTTTCACATTGGTTTCACTGAGATTGTTTCCTTCCAGTTCTAAGGTGACTAACTGACTCAAGCCTATACAAAATAAAATGATCAGAATATTAGAGTAATTTAAAAACCATACAATTTCTATAATCCTTTAAAATATCATAATAAATATTGAATTCATTTGGAGGGCAGTTGTTGTGGCCTCTTTTATCCCTCTGCAGATCAAGCACTTTGTACATCCTGAAGTCTCAATTAAGTAGGACTAAATATATGCTCCAGTGGAGTGACAGACCTATAGGAAAAGTAGAGGACTGCAAAGTCAGTTTGAACCACAAGGTCGGTTATTCAAGCTCACTAGCCACTCATTGGAAACCCTATACAGTGTTGACATGAGTTGGAGCCATCTCAACGGCATTTAACAACAACAATGCATAAAGAGCGGAACCAAGATACAGAGACTAGTGATGGTGCTATTTTTAAGTATTTTGGTCAGAAGAAGTTATCAGTGAGACAGGAAGAAAAGTTGGGACACTCACCACAGAGGCAGCGATAGCTGAGTTCGGATAAGTATAAAGTTGAAGAATTTTTTTTTTTTTAATGTTTTATTGTGACTTATGTGATAGTTTACATGGGAGAACAATAATTTTACATTCATTCTATCATATATTGTCTCATTGCCATGGTTCCAGTCCCCTCCATGCATCATCAACCAACCAAAGGGTACACCCTGCAAGCCTGGCCCCCACATTGCCCCGGTCTTAAGCACACAGTCCCATTTCCTCTCTGGATCTAAAGTCCCCCGTTGCTCCATCTCTCCACATCATCTCTGCCTCCATCTCAGGCATCACTGCTTCTCTGGGTAGGGTCCTGCTCTCCCCTTTTCTCCCTTGATGGTCTTAGGGACCTCCGCTCCTAGACTGGAAAGTTAATCACTCCCCTCCTTTCTATAAAATGTCTACCTTTACATTTC